GAAAATCTGAAGTATTCAACTTATATATATATTGATTAATAACACCTGTTACCTCCATTGGAGCATAGGCCGCCGACCGGCATTCTCCAACCCACTTTGTCTTGGGCCTTCCTTTCTAGTTCTATCCAGTTGTTGTTCAGTCTTCTCATGTTTGTCTCCATTTCTCGATGCAGTGTATTCCTTAGTCTTCCTCTGCTCATCTAACCTTGGGGATTCCATGTGACAGCTTGCCTTGTGACACAGTTGGGTGCTTTCCTTAATATATGTCCTGTCCACATTATATAAAATGTGGACAGGACATCTTTGTACATGATTATGATCCTATAAAAATATGACTATTTATTATCATAATTATTAACTAATTAAATACTAATTTATCAAGAGTTTTTGAATGAATTGAAATATTGAAATCTGTCAAGTGTTACATTCACTAATTCTATTATATAATTTCAGGAATATGTATTTATGACCAATCTTTCTCAATACCAACTGACATATAAAAGTGAATTCTGTTTGGGTTTTTTTGGTATGATGGATAAACACTCCTACCTTATGTAATAATGGTATCTCATGTAAAAACAGATCAGAATAAATAGAAAAAAACATTATTCAATTTTCATGTATATTTATCGAACAAATCACTAATATTACACATAATGATTATGAGATGGTGGAGGAGATTTGTAGCTGAGGTGGATAATTTTGACGGAGTTTTGTTCTCTGAGCTGGTTGATGTCGTTCAGAAGAACTACGAAAGCTCCACGACCAAATCACCCAGCTTAGAGAACAAAACTCCATCAACATAATGATTATAGTGATTAAGTGAATATTCTTAATGGTATCATTGATTTATTATAATAACAAATTAATTATGTATTAATTAGCAATACATAAGAAATAATTTTCGATCAATTAAATAATAATGTTCTGTTCATTTAAAACATCTGAAAATAAATATTTAATGTCAATGGAATATGATCGTCTAGCATTATTATCATTAATCTTGTTTAATTATTTTATAAATTAATGCATTTGATCACGAAACGATTTCGGCTAGATAATTATTCATCTATCTATTAAGAATTAGTTTATAGAGATTATGAATCGATTGATGTTAGATTACCATTAAAAACATGGAAACAATGGACGGCCGTCTAGTCCTAGTATGGGATTTCTCAGCATTATGCACTCATGATCCCGAACCGTGGTTTTACGCGAAAATGCTTAACTTCAAGACCACTGAGCTAGCCGGCATCTGATGATGTTAATGTCTAACTTCAAGCAATCCACGAAATCGAATGACCGTCTTCCATTGTCTGAGATAGATACCTGTGTCTACCTGACATGGATTAACTCCACTGGTCACGGCTTCTCAATAGATTTTCGAGAATTCCCTCATGATGCTAGTCACTAGTGAGCACATGGTGATTATCAGTATGAGGTTGTGGAGATGGTTGAATTTTTGATTGAGATCAATTGATTGATTGAAGTTAGATAATAACACCGTTAAATATCGACTCAGTTGTCTAGAGTTTAAGCATGTGCACGCAAAACCGAAGGTCTTAGGTTTGAATACCGAGAGCGAGATCGTGAGGGCGCAATGCTGAAGAGTTCCATGTTACGACGAAACGCCGTCTAGTGCTTCCAGGTTTTCAATGGTGGCCTAACACCACTTGATTCATGATCTCAATCAAAAACGTAACAATCTCCACAACCTCATACTGATAATTAGCTTAGAAAATAATTTCAAATGTTCTCCTGAGAAGTCATAAATTGTACTATTCAACTATGTTGGAAGTGATGTAATTGTCACTGATGACAGGTTAATCATAATTTACAATGCATGATGGAATCCGTTGAAATTCCGAATCTGTACCATTGGTTCCTAATTTAATGGGTTTAAAGGTAAGGTTAACACTAAGAAATTTTATGATTCGATGACTGGTTGGGCTGTCCGTATGAAAACTGAAATCAGTACAGATGTTCACTATTCCATGTTTCTAATTGTTCTTTATGGAAAATTATTTTACAACAAGGTAAACTGAACTGATTTCTATAATCAGTCAATTAGAGAATGGAACATCTATTAAATATCTTATATTTGTCATCTAGATAATCTCGTCAAAGCGGAGGACCTCTACTTGACTGTTTCATGATAACTTTCGTCTATTACAAGATTTGCTTTCGTTACTTAATAAAGCTAGATATTAATTCTATCGGGTGTGCAACGTTGTGGAGTTTTAAGTGCACAAGGGAGCTTTTTTGACGGAAGCGATATTAAACATATAATGGAATGGTACTAGACCATTGAAGTGCCTGTTTTTAACTAACCAATTTTGTTTACTTCAACAGTAAACAATGTGTGCATTTGAAGGCTAGAATTTGTTACAATACTAAAATTTCCAGTAACTTCAGTTACAATTCACACTTGATAGATCAAGAAATTATCAGCTTTTAAGACTGAAAAGAACACCAAATTTATTTTCAGGGTATTCATAAAAGTGATGAATGTTTTTAATACAACTATTAACATTATCAATAAATATATTTTTATCAGAAGGAGTTTTGTGGATATTATAACAATTATAATAGTTGAGATCATGATTCAATTGAAGTCATCCAGTGCTTTCAAGTTTTCCATGGTGGTCTAGCTTCAATTAACTCATAATCTCAACTATTCAAATATATTTTTATTATATCATAATGAGTAAAAAAAATATATTTCTTACGTCTTGTGACGTAATGTATACTACTTCTTCAGAGTAAATAAAACTGTTAACTCTATTTACATACTCTAATAAATTAAAGTCATATGTGTTCATAGTATTTTCTTAGTTTTATACATTGGTCCATTCTAACTAATATAGTATGTTTGAGCAAATTTATGAGTTAGTGTATCGTTAGATACATATGTGGTGCGTGCTACTTATATTGATCAGAAGATGGGGGAAGATCAAGAAAGGAAGAGCGGGAACACAATGCAATTTGTAAGAAAACGCATAAACAATGAAATGTGAGACAATGAATTGATGATTGAAACAGGAACAGTTCGGTTTGATATGATGGATTGACATTTTGCAAATTAAAGATTTATTATATTGTTTTTCTATTTTACCAAGTAACTCTGTAATTTTGTGCTAAATACATTCGATTGTCCCCACACGTGTTCTGCTCACTACACATATACCATTGAGTTACGGCTTAAATTCACCACAAAAGTAGTAAATTGTAGTGATTAAAATTTTATATATTGTCATTGTTACGATCTCCTTTCACTTTCTTACTATTAAATGTTTAAGTTTAAATCTGACATAATGTTATCTTTTTTATTAATGTCTAAACAAACTTTTTCCATTCACCATTGATTTGATCACATTTTATTGATTTGTATATTATAGAACTAAGTTGTAAAATTATGGCATAACTTTATTACTTGACGGAAACACATGATTATGTACAATTTAACAGGCCTTTAGACAATTACGTTATAATATTATGGACATTACAAAGAAACAATATGCGTCAACAAATGAAAAAAAAGTTTCACTCAAGCATACGGATATCATAAACGTTTTTAGATGGCAAATTAATCAATATATGTAAGGAAATTTTCTTCGTTCATCAACTATTACTATATTCCCATTTAAATTATTTCTCAAGAGATGAAAAATGAATTATTAACTTAGCTTTATTTAAAATAATGGTACGAATCTCAGAAATAGTATTAATTATAAAGAGAAAAAGTGGTTAGTATTTTTTGTGTGTGTGTCTTTTATGAGCTTTTATGTAGCTTCTATAATCTATCTTTCTGTAGAATAAGAGATTGGGTTGATCGGTAAGTAATTCAAGATAATAGAAACAAACAAACTTAGATCATTGTGGAAATATAATTTGTATTAATTGGAAATAGGAATGAACAATCTCATTCAGTTTGTGAGCAAAAGTATAATTTTCAGGACTGATGGTTTTATATAAATTTTCATAAGCAAAATATCAACATAAACCAGCGAACCCTTGGCGATAATTCGGCTACAAATGAATATATGCTGCCAAATGTTATATATGTATATGCTATGTGGTCAGTAGTCGAATCTTCTAGAGGTCATCATTCCCCTTGAAATTATAGGTAAATATTACTAACAAGTGCCAAACAAAACGAAACCTGGGTTTTTGGTGTCCTCTTAGCTAGTTTCAACTTCCACCTTGTATATACATATACTGTACGAAGAGACACCAATTTAACTGGTTAATAGAAATCTGATAAATACTACAAAGATGTACACTTGAAAACATATTATGTAACAATAGGATTCTGTTGAGTCATGAATTTGTTGTAGATAAAACTAAGTTATTACTAAATTGTTAGTAAATAAGCAAACATTCGTATATTAGTGTCTGAAAAAGATCTTACGGAGTCTCACAATAGGATGAAACAGCCGTCCAGTGCTTCCAGGTTTTCAGTGGTGGTCTAACATCAATCGGTTCGTGATCTCAATCAAAATATTATATTTTTATTTCTTCCTTATTGCTATTTATCGTCAACTGAAGTCTCACAGTAAGTTTGTCTACGAATAGTTAGTTATCTGTAGAAAATGAATGATCTGACTAGTTGAAGAAGATATTTTTAGCCTATATATTTGTTTGATTTAGTTGAAATATTCCTCGTTATCAGCTTATTCGTTTAAATTTAGTCTATACTCATTCATTCTATGGTTTATTAATGCCAACAGAAATTGATAGTATCTATGAAATTCAATCCATTCTAACACCTTAAATTTTATTTTCAAAATATAATTAATTATATCTTATAGTTAAATAATAAGAAGTAGAATAATTGACAAAGTGAAATTACCTAGAAAACATCTCCAGATGTTTCAGATTAGTAGGCAATAATATGATCATCATTTGTGGGTTCCTATCATTTTAATATTATTGGTTAGATTTATATGTCCTTATATCTATCCTTATATATATATATATTTCTCTAACCAACAACACTTATGTCTATTTACAGATTGTTTCCCAATTGTAACTGTTTATAATTTTAAAAATCCTTTCAAGGTCATTAAAGCAATTTCACGCATAGAAACCTCAGTTCTTCTCATTTCAATACACTTACTATATTAGTTATCATTGTTATTATTACTATCATTTTGTATATATATTTTTTTCACTTGATGCTTCATATAAAAGCATTATCATAAATTGGATTAACATTTTACATTGGCATAGAACAGGGTTTTTTTCTTTCTATTTATATATTTACATGAGTTCATGGTGTATAACTTAGACCGACTTGTTTTTATTATTTTTCATTTTGTATACATATATTTCAGTTTTAAAAGGATTATACAAAGTTTTCATTGAACATACTATTTCTAAATGAATACCGGATGTTTATATGTACGTATGCATATACATACACTTTTTTTTTTAAAAAAAGATGTGTTTAAAGTCTGAATTACTAGACTAACTGCACAAATCAACACTTTGTTTCAGTATGCACAATAGGGGAACTTTCAAATGGTCTGTCTGTATAATAGTCATACTGCATTAATACACAAATATATATGTATATATATGTATATCTATGTATAATATGTGCCTTTATCGCTCACTATTCGAAGATTCTTTGACCACATATGATGGTTTATACTTTACAATTTACAATTTTCATCATGGATAGGTGCTTTGAATTAATGAATACATAATTTAAAAAAAGAAGAGAAACATATATATATTTCTTGAGTTAATCTGTATCTAATCACTACGATTGTTGTATATACTACAAGAATTACTTTATCATTATGGATTTCTATAAACATGAAATTGTGGATAATTAATATTATTAACCTCTTCTAAATCAATATCCAACTATATCAAAGTTTACTGATTAAATAATGAATTATTTATACTGCCGTTACTATCAGTTAACGTTCATTTTATGTATTTTTCATTGGGTTTTACTATTATCAAGAAAATGTCTAGCGGTAGATGAAATTGAATTACGTCTTCGTATGCGTGAAGAAATTGCACCATCTACACGTATTGGTTCAGTGATATCAAGTTTACCTGTTAATTTACGATCACAAATGCATTTTTTAACTGATAGTACATTTTTTACAGTCACACCAACAAGTGGTGAAATACGTGTTGGACGTTTAATTGATAGAGAACGGCTATGTCCGGAATTTAAACTTTGTTGTGGTGTGATTACATGTGAATTAAAAGCTAGTATTTTTGTAACAAATAAAGCTGCGGGAGAATTTGCCGCTAGTGTTTTATTGAAAGTGGAAATTCAAGATCAAAATGACAATAGACCAACATTCAATGCACAAAGTCAGACAGTTACTTTATCTGAAGCTACTGCTGTGGGCACATTAATAAGTATTAATGCAGCGACAGATGCAGATATTGACCCTGAAAATCAGATACAACGTTATACTCTTGTCGAACCTACAGGCACATTTAAACTAGATTTATCTGGACTCCCTACAGTTCGTTTAGAATTATTACGTCCACTTGATAGAGAACAAGTATCTGAATATAAGGCAAGCTTAGAAGCATGTGATCCTGGTGCATGTACACGACAAACACTAGAAATCCAAATTCTTGACGAAAATGACAATAGCCCACGTTTAGCAAACACCCGATTTAATAAACGATTAATTGAAAATATTCCAGTTGGTACTGTAGTATTACAACTGAACGCTACTGATATTGATTCAGGAGAAAGAGGCAGGGTTATGTACAGTTTTCATGGAAATATTGATTCCGATTTAACTGAAACATTTGAGCTTGTTCGAGATACCGGTGAAATTAAACTGAAAAGACCGTTAGCAGCAAATATACGTGATAGCTATGAATTCAAAATTATTGCATGTGATGCAGTAAATAGAGCATGCAGTGGAGATGAGAATTCAACTGCTGACATCACATTTACTGTAGAAGATGTGAATAATTTCCCACCATCAATTCATGCTGTGGCTGCAGGAGCAGCACTAGTTACTGGCTCAATCGATCAAAATAAAGGAATTGAGTCAAAAACAGGTGAATCAGATCATAACAATTTCAATGAACCAAAACCCGGTGACGAATTAAGTATCTTAGAGAATTCTCCACCAAGTCAAATAGCAGTTTTAACTGTTCGTGATGATGATACTGGTGATAATTCTAAAGTATCATGTTCGTTAAATGATACGAATAGTAACATATTATCAAACGGTGAAAAGACCACCCAAAATTTTATACTTACTCCTAGTACTCCAGGAATTTATTCATTACGTACTGCGAAAGTATTTGATTATGAAAGTGAATCAACTGTACGTACAACAGTTGTTTGTCATGATTATGGTAAACCACAACAACTAACTTCAGCTAGAGTGATTACAGTACAAATTATTGATGTTAACGAATTTCAACCGGAATTTTCACGTCGTGTTTATGTTAGTCGAGTACCAGAAAATGCACCACCAGGAATGGATATTCTTACAACTACAGCATTAGATAGAGATAGAGCTGCTGTTTTAAGTTATAAATTTGCACCTACTTCAACATTATCATTTAATGAAGAGGGAAAAGATTTACATAAATCTGATAGTACACAAACAGACGATGGAGTTTATAAACATTTTATTATTGAATCACAAACTGGAATAATACGAACAAGTCAAGTAAGTCATTTCAAAAAGTTTTTCAAAATTTTCTTAATAAAAAAGAATATTTCAATAGTTGAGATCATGAGTTAATTGAAGCTAGACCACTATGGAAAACCTGGAAGCACCGGATGGCTGTTTCGTCATATTGTGGGATTCTTCCGCAGTGCGCATCCACGACCCCACATCGCAGGATTCGAAACCAGGACATGTCAGTCTCGCTCGTGAACGCTCAACCACTAGACTACTGAGTTGGCCGGTATCCCAACATATTCACCATTGTCATCAGTGAGTTACCATCTCACAACTGACCCGTTCGAACTCCACTGGTCACTACTTCTCATTAGAACTCCAGGTTATACATCTTGAATCCAGTCACTAGTGAGCATATGTTGATTCGTATTGCAGTAATTTCAATAGTTGAGATCATGAGGATAATAAAATTGGTTATTCATTTCAACTATTTACAGATTATGTTTATGAGTTGGAATTTTGTTTACTAATAAAAAAGTGTATGAAAAATTAACAACAAAAAATGTTTTGACCTTAGTTTATTCAAACTTTTTCTCCTTTGGAACAGTTGATGTCTAATTTCCTCCTTTTAAAGATCCATTATTCTTGTTAAATTGTAGTTTTGTATATATATGTGTGTGTGATTAAAATCTCTTTTTCTAATTTATAATGTTTGCCTAACAGAAACATCCACACTTATCTACAGTTTTGATAGGATTTCTTTGTTTTATATTCAGTTCTGAAAATGATCTGAGAATATTTATCAGATTTTAGCACATTATAGTACTTTTTTTTGTTATCTCTATTTATGTAGTCTGGATTGAAAATTCGATGAGGTTGATGATAGGTTGAATATTTTACAAACATATTTGTCCCTAAATTTGATCGGATAGTTTCACAGTATTTGAGCGCCGAGTTAATGTGAGACATTAAAGAGGAAGAATGTATTTGTAAAATCTCAGCGAATGAATTTGAAGTAAATCCAACGTTTCGCCTGGAAATATATTTCCATGAAAAAGCTTGGACCAGATTACCAGACAAAACATTGAATTTACTTCAAATTCATTCGCTAAGATGTTACAAATACATTCTCCCTCTTTAATATTCATCCCTATATGAAGAAAATACTATAAAAAATTAATTTAACAGCATTTAGAATTATTAGCTTCAGTAAAGAATGAAAATAATCATCGTTAATAAGTTAGGAAACTAGGATTGAAGAGAGTTAGTTCAGTGTTCTTTGATTTTCATTGGTTGTATCATTTAGTCAATCATAGAAAAATTGGAACCTAAACAAATATAAATTGATCGAACTAACCCTACAATAAAAGTACAGTTTAAAAATCATTTAATTGAATACCAAAGTTCTATAAGTAGTTATTGTATCAGCTTCAGAAAAAAGAATTAATCATAGATCATGTGTATTTACCAAATAAAAGATGTAATATAATCTCAAAACTTAAGATCTAGGGAATGACAAAAAGGGAATATTTCACAGATTGAAATCATGAGTCAATTGAAGCTAGACTACCATGGAAAACCTGGAAGCACTGAACGGCCGTTTCGTCCTAGTATGGGACTCCTCAGCAGTGCGCATCTACGATACATCTTTTCCATTGTGGGCGTTTATAAGCCACGTTATCAGTTTTTTAAACGAAGTGGGCTTATAAATCAGAATTTTCGAAAATTAAATTATTTTTGTAAATCTTCCGTTTTCATCTTCGAGAAAGACCTGTTTATTTGCCATCTTTATAAAGGTTTAACTAAAGATTTCTTTATATCTTTGATTTGTTCTGTAAGATTCTGATATTCTATTTGCAATAGTGATAAGGGTATGAAAACTAACCGTAGATATTCAATGGCATACTCTTAGATATTGTCGAAAATAAACCAATACGAATGGTCTATTGCATAATAAACACTTATTCTGAATTTCGAAAACAAAACAATGTAATGTACACTAAGTTTCAACCATAACACGCTCTAATTTCATTGACTGCAACCTTAAAACAATTCTTTCTGAAATATTTCTTAAACCTGACGACTAAAGTATATCATTACACAATTAAATGAAAAAAAAGGGAATGGGATAATGCATTTAATCTTGTCCATCAAATATTTTTCATTACATTTTTTTGTTTAACAGTAAGACAAAAATATGAAACTAAAAATGATAGACTTAATACAATAATAGTTCTTATTACGAGAAATGTTTTACGGCCTTTATAACAGTTTATACTTACCATTTGACCATCAAAATACTTTCATCAATAAAAAAAACTTCAAACTTAACATCGTTAGGCAATGAATATTACACACTTACTTACGCCTGTTACCCCTCATGAAGGAGCATAGGCCACTCACCAGCATTCTCTATCCACTTTGTCGTAGACAATTCTTTCCAATTGTTTTCAGATACTATTAATCCTTTTAAAATCTACCTTCAATTCTCGGTGCTGTGCGTTTTTCAGTTTTTCTCTTCTCCTTTGATCTTGAGGATTTCAACTGACGGACGCAGTTGGGTAATTTTCTCAATGTGTGTCTTATCCACTTCCAGCGCTTCTTCCTAATTTCTTCTTCCGTTGGGATCTGGTTTGTTCTCTCTCACAATAGATTGTTGCTGATAGTATATGGCCAACAAATCCAAAGTATTTCGAGTAGAAAATAGTTAATCAATATTTGTATATTTCGATGATGGTTGTGATAGTCCTGTTGGAATGATGTTAAATAAGTTTAGTATAACTTTAATGATCAAAATATAAATATTTATTTTTACAGAATTTATAGTATATTTGTAATATCTCAATGAGTAGAAAAATTAGGTTTTCTGACGTTTCGTGGCTTAGTGTAAGTCACTTATTCAGGGAATAACAATCTACCCAATGCTCAATTGATTCGAAATGATCAAATCAAACCTTGGTAATGATACCTATTTGATAATTTGCAATTTGTTTTTGATTTGAAATGTTTCAAGTTGCTTGATTTACATAATTCAAAAATGGAAATGAATTATTTCAAATATTTTATCATTCTATTTTAAAATTGATGAGTTACCTTAAAAATAAATTGAAGAAAAACTAACACTCTTGCCCCGTTTCCAGTCTAGTTGACCTTTTATTTTTATATATAAATGCTTTATCAAGTATATGTGTGATCAGATTGTTCGAAATGTATTGCGCTAATATATCACCTAGTTCTGATAATCATCGTCTTCTAATTACATTATCGAAATAGTATAATTGTGTTTGTACAATCAACAAAAATGAACTGAAAAGCTTGAATAATTGTCAACGTACATTTTATCAGTTTTTAATGGGTATCGATAATATATCAACTTTCTAATACATATATATTACGTGGCCTCTTGTATGTAAATGTTATTTCGAATAATGTATCACTGTCTTTTCCAATATACGTTTATGAAATAGCCTAATATTACAATTTTGTGCTAACACCTAAACAAACAAAACTTTAAAGAATATCTTACATTTTTTAAAGAAATATGGCACGTAAAAATAGTTACTAATAAGATCTTTCTCAGATCGATTTCGTTGCGTTAAACTACTTAAACAGTATTCAAAAATAACACGTCTATAAGTATGTGTTTGTTTGGTTAAAGAATTACTTGTTAACATGTCAACATAAATTTCTCTCTGCACTGATTTTTACTTATTTATTTATTTAGCCTGTTACGCCCCCCAACGGGGCGTAGGTTGTCAACCACCATTCTCCAATCCACTCTGTCTTGGGCCTTCTTTTCTAAATCTCTTCAATTGTTGTTCATTCTTCCCATATCTGTCCCCCTTGTACGGCGTAATGTCTTCTTTGGTATACCTCTTCTCCTTTTGCCCTGAGGGTTCCAGGTGAAGGATCACTTTGTGACACAACTAGGTGCTTTCCTTAATGTGTGTCTTATCCACTTCCAGCGCTTCTACCTGATTTCTTCCTCCGTTGGGATCTAGTTTGTTCTCTCTCATAGTAGGTTGTTGTTTATAGTATCTGGCCAACGGATTCGAAGTATTTTGAGTAGACAAGTGTTAATAAACACTTGTATCTTTTAGATAAAGGCTTTCGTAGTTCTCCAATTTCCCGCACTATACAATAGAACTGTCGTCATATTTGAGTAGATGTAAATGTTCCTTTTGTCTTTCAATTATACAGATGAATAATGTGACTAAGAAATACAACTGATTATAATTTCCTACTATGAATCCTTACTATTTCCATTCTACCTACTGTAATGTTCCGCAGTGAAAATAATTATTACACAGAGATCGAAAAAGAAGGATGTCATTTCATATTGTACATGAATGATAACAGGAAACTAAATACGAAAAATAGACCATATACATTTCAGATTTCGCTTCACATAGTAAAATTCAATTGTGTCAATGTTAATCACTTGATTTATTAGTCTTAAATCATTTCAACGAACTAAAAAATCTAGTCAATATTCTGTTGTACTTTCTATAATAGAAAATGTAACAGAAATTACATTTGACGTATTTTGTTCATTTTTTAGAGTAAAAATCTATTTTGTAAGTTTACAATATACTTCCTTCTCCACTATAGCGTTAGATTAATTTACTGACATTGTCTGTTTCATATTCCTTATATATATACATATCCAATTTTTAAGGAAACTTACTAATATCTGATTATTGATTTAATTCCACATTCTTATCATATTAGAATACAATTGGATAAGCGTGAAATACTGATTGTCTAAGAGTAATAGGTCAAGTGGACAAAAAAAAATTATATCACAAATTTAAAGGTATTCGTTCCATATGCTACCGTTCAAATCAATCGATATAGATTATACTAGAAACTTGACATGGTGATACACAAAATAATTTATACTACTTTCATGTAACTGGGTCAATTTTCACTGAAATGTAACATATTATTATCATTGTTGTCTGTTATTAGTTCCATTCGTTTTATATATTATATCACATATGAAACATAACATTTTATGTTGTTTGTAATGTTTTAACTGTCCA